TCACTTTGTAAACATCACAACAAGAAAAATGTCATTCAAAATCCATGAGTAGTGATATACCGTATATTGCATATAATTAATAAATAAAATTATATGTTTAAGTAAAATAGTTCCAACTATATTATATGTTGAATCAATTTCTTTATATCTGAATTATTATACTAACATATTAATTTCATTTCATTTGGCATTTGATCTTGCTTTGCATTATTACATAATCATGAATCTTAAAGCATAAGAAGTGAATATGAAAGACTCTTTAAAAGAGTCGACAGAAATTGAACATAAAATAGATGAGGTAAAAATAAAAACATCCATAAAATATTAAATACTATGATATAAATCAAATTTAGTAATTTATATATAAGTTGAATTGTTTCGCCACACAAAAAATTTAAGATTTCAAATTGGCAACTTAGAAGTCCTCGTGAAGAAACATCTCGTGATGATTCTTCCTTGCCTAATGATCACATACATAGCAAATCAACCTCATAAAAGACATTCATCTCGTCCAAAAAACTTAAATTATTAGTTGAATAATTGTCTGATGATGTGCCCCTTTCAGCATACTCTCAAGAGAATTTCCTCAAACTGTCAAAAAAAGCTCATTATTTGCAATTTCAGCAAGTTCCGAAACCCTAGCAACTAATGGATTTTAAAGATTATTGAGACCTCAGAAACCAACAAGAACTTAAAGGCAAGATAAATCATAATGATATTAGGAACACTATAAACATCCAAGAAAACTATTTGAGAAATGATCATGTTGAGCGAAACTATAGATATCAAGCAACAGATCATGAGATTCTTTGTGATCGCCATCCAGGTGAATCTGAGAAAATAATAAAATTAAGGTCAATGCCCCAATCTTCACGGTGGACAAAATCCAAAATTTAGGTTTTATTCCGTATCAAAACTTGAAGAACACTTTGATTATCATTTCATTAATGATGCATCATGCAAATGCTTACTTACTAGCTATAAATCTAGAATATTTAAACTAGTAAATCACATGAAATACAATCAAAATTGTTTGTAATTTTGCATTTTTACAGGCGATTCATGAGAAAAATGGTGACGATAATTAGGTTTATGTGGTACTCATCCTAAAATTAAGACAGAAGTGTCTCTTTAAACCAATGAGTATAAATGAAACTTATGATCAAGCATTAAAGGTGAAAAGACAACGGCAACTTTCCCTGAAAAGCAATGACAATTCATGTCATCTCAATATACATTCATCTGCTTAAGTCAACCATTATTTATCACCCAACTCACACTACAACTACCACACCATCAAAAAAATCCTAACCAAAACTCATAACAAAAGAAGAAAAAAACACTTCAATATCACTGAAACTAACAGTCTTCTGCAAAAGGTGTCAAGTGAAAAATGATATAGCTCATTGATTCCCTCAAAAAATCATGCCTTTGAAGCTATACCCTAATGACCTTCTTCCAAGTACTGATGATAAGTGTTGAACAACTTAAGAATAATAATTCTTTCTGGCGATGATATGAGCATGGAAATAAGCAACAAAACAATAATTTCATGCACAATTGAATTTAAAATAAAAATAAACTTGAATTTGAAAAGTATATGAAATTAAACCTGAAATTTTAAAGCAACTCTCTTCATGGTGTAATCATCAAATAGCCTGTCTTACCGCATTTCCAAAACAAATCACTCCTACTTTTTAAAATTTCCAAAACAAACAAGAAAAACAGCATTGCGGCAACACACCGTCACTGCACTGCCGCCCCAAATGCACCCTTAGGGTTAAGGTTTGGGAGAGATTTCCTACCTCCGAAATTGTAGGATTTTGAAGGGATCACCTATCTCCCAAATTGTAGGTACTTATCTTATGTATTTGTGTTGAGTTGTTTGGATTATCGAACAAAAATAATATATTTTGGCATAATTCGAGTGAATTTTCTAACCAAATGGTATTAAAGCAATCGGTCTAGTAAGCAAATAAGAAGGATCACATTGTCGGAGAGATAGAGTCGCTCGATCAAATTTGTATCAAATTGTTATTGGCAACATGATTGATGAAGGATCACGAAAGTGACATACATAATATCTGAAACTCCCATCTTCCTCCTTCCACTTTGTCCTTGCAATACAAGCGCGGTCAAGCTAGAAGGGGAGCAACTAAGGGATCGCGACGTACGGAAGGGTCAAGACGTATAGAAGGTTCGTTGGAAAGTCGAGATCGAGCTAGCTGGGAGCGAACAAAGGGACTGTGGAGTACAGTGAACTCATCTCACAATACAATCATGATCAAGCAAACGACCAAATTTCTGGCATACAAGACTTTCGCTTTTGTGATATAGAAATTTCCAGGAAATAATGATGGCAGCAAAGAAAAGTAGAAGATTTGGAGAACAAAACTGGAGGAAGAGATGAGTCAAATCAGATATAGGATGGAGGAAATGTTCATCATAGAAATAATATTTTTCTTCAAAGACTATTTTTTTGCCATGGAAAACCAAATTGACCAGATTGGAATGCTTGGAGAAGATGATTAGAAAACTTACAAGATGCAAACCAAGGCCCCATCAGCAGTTCAGTTTGTAAACTCTAACCAAGGATTGACCAGAGAATCCTTAATTAAATTGAAAAGAAAAGAGATCAAATGAGCTTATGTAAGGGGAATGGGATATAGCTTTGATTGAGGTGGACTAGAGATTTACGAGGGAGGTAATTGGGTTGAAACATGGCAAAGAGGTTATGCAAGGGGTATGGAGAAACACGAAGAAGAAAGAAGAGCAACAGGGATGGGATATGGCTATGATCAAAGGAGATAGTTTTACCTCAATACATGGCGAAAAATTATAGAGGGAGAGGGAGAGGAAGTTGGGGTGGAGATGCTAGGGTTCAGGAGTTGAAGATGTTGATATTCAAGGAGAAAGATACACATGGATGGGTGTGTTGTGTGGAGCAATATTTTGTAGTAAATGGGTTAAATGGGGAAGAGAAACTCATGGCGGCAGGGTTATGTTTGGAGAAGAAAGCCCAGGCATGGTTTCAGTTGGGGGGTGGGGGGAGGGCTAGAACTCTATCTGCTTGTAAAAAGAAATTAAAGATTGTTTGTCGAAATGTGTCCAAGTCATTCGAGAAGAAGACCTGCTTGAGCAATTCTTTGAATTAACTCTGAAAGGGATGCCATGGAGTATAGGGAGAGATTCGAGCCCTTATCGGAACAACTGAGGAGAACTTATGAAGTAATATTGAAAGAAAATTTTATGGTCTAAATCCCAACATAAGTGCAGCCTTCGTTCACTAAGACTAGGGACGTCAAAAATTGACCTGACTCACCAACACGACTAGAACTCAACTAAAAAAAACTGGATTATGGTTTATCAGAATATTTTTTGAGTTGGGTTCGGGTCAAAGAATTCGACGCTTAAAAATTTCGGGTGGGGTCCAGGTTGAACCCGAAAGCACGAACATGGCCCGAATAAGCACAAAAAAATCGATTGTACTTTTAACTTTTATTTCATTAACTGTCATATACAAATAATTTTTATTAATTTGCCTATTATTACTTGTTAAATGTTAGAAGTATAACTTTTAATAAAACTTGAGCTGTCAGGTTAAATGACTTGGGTTCGAGTTTACCATGTCTGGGTCGAGTCGGGTTGAGGTTGAGTTTTTCGAACAATTTATTATTCGAGTCGGGTTCAAGTTGACCCGATTCGAGTAAATAAATTTAGGGGTCGGACCCAAACCCAAACAGCTGACCCGACTTGAGATCCATAACTGAGACCACGGGGCTTGAAAGAAATTATGGAATTAGTACAGTTGGTTGAAGATCATAATACAACGGAACAAGTTAATAGGAGCAGCACAGGTGGAGTACCATACCAAACTACTACAACTATGACGACACCAAAAGCTTAAATAGTTGTTGTGGGAGGTTTCACATGACGAGAATTATATGTTATGACTGAGAGTGACACTCAAGCGTCTTATAAAGACAAACATTTCGAAGAAGCGAGCCAAGGGGATATATTTTCAATGTGATGAAAACTTTGAACCAAGACACAGTTGCAATAGTCGAGCAATACAGGTTATCACGATTTGTGATGAGAAGACAAAACATGAAAAAACAAAAATAGTTGTGGTGAAGGAACACCCTCACTTTTCCCACTTTAAAGGCATAGTAATACTCTTTTGGGAGAGGAGTATTACTATGCCGGTGTCTAGCCTAAGGATAATTTTGTTTTTGTGCGCCTAAGAGCAATTTAGTATTTTTTCATTGATTATTGTTTGTAATAAATAGGGTTAATGTGTTTATAGTAAAGGTATACATGAGATTAGGTCTTGAGTTTTTGGATTAGGGTTTAGAAGTCATTTCTACCTCTCAAATTATAAAATTTGGAAGAGATCGTCTGCCACTCGAATTGTAGGATTTGGGAGAGATTGCCTACCTCTAAAACTCTAGGTGCTTATCTTATGTATTTGTGTTGAGTTGTTTGGATTATTGAAAGAAAACAATTTATTTTGTCCTGATTCTTGTGGAGTTTGTTGCTCCTTCAACCTTCTGTAAAGATTCCAAGATTTTCCTAATGAAGCTAGAATTGAAATTTGAAAAATGATTATATCATAAATACTATCCAAGATTTGCCTAATAAAGTTGAGGCAATGAAAAATAGAGATAAAATTAGGCATATGTCAATGATGGTGATGATGAGGATCAAGATGAGGATAATGAAAAGGGTGAAGTGAGGATCATCAGAAGCAAGCTTTACGAACATTTCTTAAAATAAAAGATAAAACATAAACACTTTCACCCAATATTATGTTATTAACATTTGATGATGTTAACCTTTGAAGATTTATAAGTAAAGATGAACTTTTTACTTTTTAAAGCAAAAGGAGAAGGGAAAAAAAAAAATAAATGCAGATAGCATATTCACAAGAAAGTGAAGTTGATAAAATAGATAAGCAGATCACATTATGTTAATCCTTTTATCAGAGAATAATTAGTCACCTTTCAGCTCTATCAAATCCAAACCTCGAACCAAAATAGAAAGCAACAGAAATTAGCCATGCATCACTGTGTACTGCAACTAGCGATAACCAATCTTCCTCTCGCATTCCATCCCTAGCAAAGTTAATTCCCAAAGCAGGCTCAGGTATCTCTGGTGGGATCTCTTCTGCAGGAAGATTAACTTCCCACTGCTCGCTGGGAAACCCATAAAGACACAGATTTTCCTTATCTGCCAATCAAGCAATTATGTCAAATAAAACTTCTACTTCACGGATATAAAGCTATAAGAGTTGCTGGCTATACAGTACAGACAGAAATTAGGCTTTAATTCAAAATGTCAAAATGCAACAAAATTTTAAAACAGACAAGTTATTAATATACTCTGACGCCAGTAGTATTTCCAAGAATAAAAAAAGGAGCAGCAAGAATAGGGTTGAAATATCTATAGGGTTCTGTAATAAAATCTTAGACAAACAAACAGTTCGAGGGGTGGGAAACTCTACGATCAGTCTTCGAAATAACAGCATGAAGAGAGAGACCGTTTTGGAGGATAAGCTTTATTATTGAGCAAATTAAGAAATGATGAATAAGAGCAAAATATATCATATGGCATATGAAGCTTGGGGCTTTGTTGATAGTATTATGCAGTTGTTCTGCCGTGTTTTTTGCATGAAATAAAATCCTCCATGCTCTAACAGAGATGATGAATTTACTATGCAAATAAGATGATCATATCCTAAAAGCCATGGAAGAGGGAAAAAGGTATCTTGCATTGCTTTCCGTCTCAATATTCCCAAATAAATAAGAATTATGATACATTAGGTTTTAAAAAGTAAAGCAAATGATTTACTAACACAATTCTGAAACCCCAGCTATATCAAATACACTTCAAACTGTTACTTCAATTACCACCAAATGATAACTTCAACTACCATCAAATCATGAAACCAATCTTATATCCACTATCAAATTACAGAAAACATGGAGAACCTTGAGAACCCCCGCAAATGTCAGACAAAAACTAGAAACGCCCTTCAAAAACATTGCATGCCAGAACCCATTTACTCTCGAGTAAATAAATTAGCTAAATAGGCCGCAAAAAACATGAATGAAATCACAGACCTGGATCGCACTGCTGGTAGAAATCGTCCACATCTGCAGCACCCCAAACAAAATCGGTTAAGCAAGAAACCGAATTAACAGCGTGAAAAGAAACCAAAATATCACAACCGTGCTGAGAAAAAATGAAGATGGGAGATCACCGTTGGTGAGGGCTTTAATCAGGCCGGCTCGCCGGCCCTTGAAGTCCTTGAAAACTTCATCCACCGAGCGGGGATTATAAGGGGTGTAATTGCCGTCCATGGAAGAATTCGAGAGAGAGAGAGAATAGAGAGAAATTGAGGTCTGCAAGGGATTTGAAAGGGTTTCAGAGGTGAGAATGCTATCAATGGTGTAGGGGGAGGGAAACGATGAAAAAGCCAACTACGCGAGAACGCAGATGGAAACTATTCACCGCTTCAGATTTTTTTTTCTTTTCCCCGTTTCAATTTTTTTTTTTTTTTTTTTTTTGTCTTTTTTTGTTAAAGAGATTTTCTATTTAAATTTTTTAATTTTTTAATACATATTTTAGTGTTCAATAATAATATTTTTTATTTATTAATTTTATTTTTTTAGAAAAATTAGGGAGATTCTAAATGTATATTTGCACGTTCTTAGATTGTTTTGAAAGCTTTTAATTTATTTTGATATGTTTGGTAATTAAAAAACACTAATTTTAATTATTTAGTGATATTCAAACTAATTAATTTAATTTAAAAAACTTATTTTAATTATTTTATGATATTTAATCTTATTATTAAAAGCTAGCCCTTTAGTTATAATAAAATACATATTTCCCTCAATTTAATTAATTAGGACTCAATTTGATCTTACCAAAGTCAAAAATCAAACAAGCATCGCGCTTCTGCAAATATTTCCTTCATTTTCTTATAATTTAGGAGGAATTTCCATAGTTTTCGCCCCTTTTAACATAATTAAAAATACCAAATAATTTTCAAAACCACCTATAGTAATTGGGAATGCATTTTGACTTGGTTGAAGAAATTTGAATGTCTGATCAACTCAATTTGATCATAAGCTAATTTGTTTGAGTCTAATTAGCAATTAAGCTTAGCAAGGACTAGCCTAATTTGATTTGTTAGCTCCGGACAGAACTTGTTTAACAAAATATTAATATAAAATTATTAAATTTAAAAAATTAAGTAGAAAATATTAAAATTATATTAAAAATGTATTTGTATTTCAAATTATTTTTTTATTATTTATTTTATTTTTCAAAATATTTTATTAATATAAAATATATACATTCCACTCACTAGTGTGCCTTAATTTACATCAGTGGCATGTAGTACATTGATTTAATGTTTATTTGATTGTTACTTGTTAGTAATTGAGTGTTAATACTTCCAATAAGCCTTTTTTAAACTTAAACATATGGCATTGGCTAGATTTATTTATTTAAAATCATGCTCTTTCATTTGAACAAATATTTTCTCTTAATCATACCCTTTTGGTTAATAGTCTTGATAACTTAGTTAATTATTTGACATTGTCTAATAATAGTATAATTATGCCTTTATGAATATATTATCACCCTCCATGCCGTGCTCTTTTAACTAGAATATACCATATATTGGTTGTACTCTTCTGGCCAAGTTTATTTTTTAATATGGTCAGCTCCTTTTGTTTCAATGTTCTATTTTTTCCATGTTTTTTAAAACAAATAATTCTCTAATCTAATCATGTATATTTTTTCTATGTTTACCATCAATGTATTTGTACTCTTTTGATTTGGTCATTTCCTTATAAAATTATACTATTTTAATCTCACAAGCTTTTTTTAGAGTCTTCGTATCTCTTTAGATTTAGCTTTATAATTTTGTCACACCCTATAGTTGAACATCTTTTAATTTTTTAATACATACATCTCTCTCTCTCTCTCTCTCTCCCTCCCTCTCTCTCTCTCTCTCTCTCTCTCTCTCTCTCTCTCTCTCTCTCTCTCTCTCTCTCTCTCTCTCTCTCTCTCTCTCTCTCAGATGATTTTTACTTGGATTTATCATATGTTTTATATATTTAAAGGATTTTTTAAATATATAGAACATTTTTATCTTTCAAGACTTTATATCACATTGAGACATTAATCCTAAGCTCTATGTTTAATGGTCTTAATTACAACCCCCTCATATTAATTATAATATATAAGAATAGGCATCTTAAATCAATTAAAAACAATCATATGAGTCTTAAGACTTTATTTATTTATTATAGATTGTTATTTATTATTATTATTATAATAATAAAGATCTTATTATCATGATTATATCACATATGGTTATTTAAGCATACAAATATCTTATAACATGCACCTTATTTGAATATTTTCTTATGATTGCAAAGTCAACTCTTTAAGAAAAATGTATTCATATATTTTAGAAATTAGAGAAATGATTGACTATTTGAATCCCATCAAACTATAAAATATAATATTAAAATGATTGACTTTGGTTTGATTTATTTTGCAAGATTAACTAATTTGGTAGACCGTTAAACTTATATGGTTTGACACTCAATATAAGATAATTTTAGCATGCACGTATATGCTATGATATATCATAACCTTATAATTATAGCTTTGTAGCATAATAATGGGGTCTAGCAAACTTGAAGTTTTATTAATGGATTCATTTTTAAGAATTATACTTTTAAATGATTAATTAAGATCAGTTTAATTAGTGCATAACTTGTTTGATTAGTCTTTCAATTATTTAAAAGTGACATTCTCCTAATTATAAGCGCTACTTAAATAAACATTGAGATTTTTAAATATATTAAAAATATTGACTCAAACATTGTTGCTTAATAAATATCTATAACAAAATAATTTATTTGAAGCAGTTTAAACTTAGTGTTGTGTTATTATAGCACATTTATAATTTTAATTTCATTTATTAACATTTTCTTAATGAGAAAATATTTGTATGTATCAGCGCAAATATTTTCTTAACCATTTACTTAAATTAAGATAAAAATCATCACTACAGTAATAACATAATAAGTTATAAATAACATGCATATGTCTTACAGTTCACAGTGTGGTTGATAATTAAGATTAGATTTATGATGTTGTCTTGAAAGGACAACTAAACTTACCCATTCATTTTAATTAAAATAATAGAGAATAAGTTTGTCTTGTTTTTCAAGGAATTGGGACTTAAAATTTACCCATTAAAGCTAAGTTTATTAATCATTAATGATGTGTAATGTTGCTAATAATAATTGTGAAACCCGTTGGGATGGGGTGTTGGAGGACTGTAACTTTCGTGAAAATTGCAATGAGCAGAGGGGTGATCCCTATCCCACAGAGGGAACTCTTTTAGAATCCAGTGTTGTATCTCGTCACATATCAAGTTTTCATGAGAAGAAACAAGATGTGTGTCGGCACTATTTTTGGTGTGGAGTTTGCCCGTAAGAAGCTGTCGGTCATCGGAATTGAAATCCCGTTGCCCGCTTCGGAAGGATGTTAAAAAAAAAAAATTTAGTTTTGAAAAAGATGAAGTCAAACTGACCCCATAATTTTCATAGTTTAAATGGAAGAGCACTTTACCTCAAATTCTGTATCTATCCCAATGGATGAATACAAGAATTGAGGGTGAGGCTCGATCAAATAAACTAGAGAAAGTCATGACATCCGTTTGGTCTGCGAAACCAATATATTGGCCGACAAATTCCCCTATTTAATATAAGGAATTAAATAGGGTTTATATTATGCTGGGTTCGGGAAAAGCTTCCTATAGGGGCA